TATATATTGTATGTCACTTATATATAAATCTAGCAAATACAAACTGAGTATCACAGAAGATATTAGTATTGCCTGGAGACACAGGAATAGTCAGAAGAGGATTTGGAGGAAGTGATCACAAAGGGGCATAAGGAACATGATGGGCATGAGTAATATGATATATGATACCTTGACTAATCTGATGATGTCATAGTATATACACGTCTATATACCTGTCTGAACTTCCTTAATTGTCCACTGCAAAGGTTTCATTTAATGTGTCTATTGTGCCTCAGTAAAATTGTTTTAAATAAAAGAAAATAACCTCATCATAATATGTATTCATTAGAGTTTTTAGGGAGACAGAGAGACAAAAAGAGAGAGAGGGGATTAATAAATTGTCTCAACTGCTGTTTACAGGTACTTTAGCTGGTAGCCTGAATCTGGAAACTCAGGCAGAATTTAATTCCTTCTTCTATGGAAAGATCTTAGTTTTTGCTCTTAAGGATTTTAATGGGTTACATGAGTCTTACTCATATTATGGAGGGTGTTATGGTACAAATGTTTCTGCCCCCTGATTCATATGTCAAAATTCTACCTTGAAAGGTAAAAGTAAGATTATTGCTCTTATAAAAGAGACCTCAGAGAAACCCTCATTCGTCTAACCCTGTGAGGACATATAAAAAAGTGCTAACTCTGAAGGAGAAAGTGGGTCAGCATTAGTCCCCAAATCTACCAGTACTTTGACCTTGGACTTCCCAGCCTCCAGAACTGTGAACATAAGTCATTGATGTTTGAAAGCTTCCCTGTTTATGATATTTTGTTGTAGCAGCCCAAACAGACTTTAAGCTCCTTTACTTAAAGTCCAGTGATTGCAAATGTTAGCTATATCCAAAAAAAAAAAAAATCCTTCACAGCAGCATCTAGCCTGGTGTTTACAGCCAAAAAATGGAACACCATAGTTAACACATATAATCAACTACCTTACAATACAGTGTTCACACAAACACATATATACACAAATACACTACTGTAATCTGGTTCTAGAATTGCATTTAGTAGCTGCCTCCAATTCTACATATTTTTAACTGATCTTCAGTTAGGGTCAAAAGTGACTCCTGTCTGCATTCTATGACTGAAACTGATTGACTAACAGTTGATCAAACACAAGAGATGGGTGTGAATGGCAGATGAGTGTATGTGGAGGAGTGGGGCCTAACGAAGGACATTTGGAGAAGGGATACAGAGGTAGAGCATTGATGGGATGGGGAGGTGTGGTATTATCTGTTGAAGATATTTTGATCAACGGGTCTGGGGAGAAATGTTCCCATATCGAAATGGTCTCATTGTAAGCCAAACAATATGATTGAAAGTATATACAAAAAAATAATAATGTGAAAAAAAAAAGAAAAAAAAGTGACTCCTAATTATCCTGCAACATATGTTAAATAAAACATATAGCCACTGAAAAATCTCCCCAAATGTAAAGATGTAAGGAATGCACAGTTAAAACTCCAATTAAAAAACAAAAACATGCAAAGCAAATACAGTGAATGAAAGTGTTTGATGTGGTCTACTTGACCAGAGTAGGGAATAATTCCTCCTTCTGATAATGGTAGGAGGTCCTTGGTTTGACAATCTGGTGGCACACATCTGCATTCTCTGGGATCATGTTATTGTTCTTTGGACCCCCAATGACATAACTCAGAGAATTTTTAAGTTAATATCATAGAGGACAGAAATCCACTCATTTCAAAGGGCTAAATTATACAAGCCTAGAAGCATTGCCTTGCCATTAAACTAGACTCTTGTAAAAAAAAATAAAAATAAAAAATAAAAAAGGAAGTCTCTCAGCATAAATGAAAAGCCCTCTTAGGAAGCTAGTCAATTTTATTATAATAATCACCATGGATTTGAAACTAATTATAGAAATGTTGTAAGCCTATAATTGTTAAATCTGGATTATGCTCTCACTTCTTTTTTTTTTTTTTTTTCAAAGCAATAGTATCTGTTCTTCACATCCTTTCCTGCAGCCCTCAGCATAATGACATCCATTCTGGTTTCTTCCCGGGGCAATATGAAATAATAGGTATGAGTGATGACAGCTCCCTGTCACAAGGATGTCGTCTGTGAAAGAGAAGCAATTACTTATGTCTTGTGGAGTCAAGAGCAGGAAATGATGGAGGGTTGGGTAAAAAGAATCAACATTACTCATTTTCTAAAAACTCCTGGATTCCCAAACTTATCCTCATTGTTCTTATAGCCTAATTGTCTATTTGCACTTCACCTTAGACCAAAATGTTTCTCTTTGCACTGTTTAAGCCTTGGAGACCAAAGGCTTATCCGGCCTGTCATACTCTAGGATTACTGGCTTCATATAGAAAGAAGACTTTCTTTTTTAAAAAAGAAAAGAACTGCATGGAATTCTCTTTTCAATATCAGCCATAATTTATATATATATATATTTTTTTTTCTTTAAGGATTCTCTAAAGTCTATAAAGAACAGCTAACATATTCCAATATCCTGTAATTTTTCTAATAATTTACCTGCCCTTCCAGGTTTGGTACACACAGGAACTGAAATCCAGGTACAGTTTTCCCGACTGTTAAACAAATGTTGACAAATACCTAACCATAGATGGAGCTTCTCTCCTTCCTCATCTAAATGCCCTCCAACTCACCTCATTTCTGTGGTCTCTTGTTTGCATGATGCAATCTTGGTCTTAATTTCATGTGTGTGTATGTGTGTGTGTGTGTGTGTGTGAATTATTTGATTAGAAAGTCAATAGAAATCTAACTCAAACTGACCACCATAAGGAGTTTCTAGTAGCTCTTTCATTGTGGAAATTCAAGAATAGAAAATTTAGACTAGTTGGATCAGAGATGCTAATGAAGCTGTGAACTTTCTTTTTCTGCTTTTTTCTAGGAATAGACATCATTCCAGACCACAGTAGGCAATTCAGATGCACATGGCCTATGTCTTGAATTGGAAAAAATTCTCTGAACTATAATATATTTAGAAAAAACCTTGTGAGCTAGGTAGGCCAACATTCAGGCAGTAAAGTCATTTGTAAATTAGGAGCCTATGAAAGGAGAGCAGCATAAACAAAGGATGAGAAGATGGAGGAAATAATTAATCTATTTCAAATCTTTCATTGAAGCTGAGTTTGCTATCGTGGGTGCAAAACTTAATTTTTTCTTTCTCTCTTAGTGATGTTTTCTAAGGACAAACTAGAGAGATTGGGTCTTTCTCTAATTATCAATCATAATGATAGAAGCTGAGATGTGGGTCTTTTCCTTTATACAATAAATGAATGTTTCATATTATGAATAAGTAGTGGGAATAAAATTGCCAGTGAAATGTGGAGGAAGTGGGGCCAGCTGGTGGTATGGTGGCTAAGGTGGCTGCATCTCACACGGCAGATTACTTGGTTCAATTCCTGGTCTTAGCTGCTTGCAAAAAAGTTGGGTGTGACTGCATGCACAAAATTCCAAAGGAAGATGGGGAAGACTATAGAGTGAACATCCGTCACAGGATGTGTTTTCTCACTACCCTCACCCTCTTCTTTCTATCTTTCTGTCCATGGCAAGTGCACATGTCCTGAACAAACAAACAAAACTTGCTCAGTAATTGTCCAGGTACTTGACTTATGAAGCAGTTAAGTACCAGTAAGGAAAAGGCTGAAACAGCAAAAGTTGTATGACATTAGGTGGATTGTGAGAAATAAGTTTACTTTTTCTTTTATCTTCATCATTATTATTATTGTTATTGTTATTATTATTTATTTGGGTCTATTGACAGCATAATAAATAATGTTTTTATGCATAACTTGAATATGTGTATTTCAGACATATCTTTAATTAAGTACTTTCTCAGAACAGATTTGCAAGCATGGAATACTTGATAGAAGTATAGAAATAGTTTAATGTCAATATAGAAAAATAGATGAAGAGCATAAATTGAAAACATGCACACACATATATACTTACAGATATATAATATAAACCTACATGACATATATACAATAGAACATCGAGATATACATATTGGGTTTTATTTGGTGATTGAGAGTGAATGAACACCTATATAATATGGTCCATGTGTATTTTATTTGCGTTTGTATCTGGCAAAGATTTAAAAGCATAAAATAGGGCTAACAGGTGGCATGCAGGTTAAGTTGGCTGAATCCCACATAGCTAACTCCACAGTTCGAGTCCTGGACCTGGTGACTTGAAAACCATGCAGGGTGAGAGTGCACTTGTGCCCCAAACCCCAAAAGGTATATGGAGAGGAAGGAATTGCATTGTTCCTGTCCCCCCTGGGGGTGTGATTTCCCACTTTCTATCTCTCTCTCTGTCTGTCTCTCTCCAGTGAGTGCATGTGCCCTATAGCAAAAAACTAAAACAAATGAACAAAAAACATAAAACAAAAATTACATATAATTCATTCTTAATATTGTTGAAACCATTTTGTAAGTATGGATCAAGAGCTTTAAATATTATTTAAAACTAGATTGTAAGATTTATTAATATGTAAAATATATCATTTCTTTTGATAAACACTTTTATTATGTCCTAAGAAAAGAAAAAATTTAAAGTGCGTCATTTTTAACTCCTAATTCCTGTCACATCACACTAACTAGGAATATACCATGTTTGTTTAAGTACAAGGGAAAGGAGAGAAAACATACACTAACCATTTTAACATGGTTATTTACTCAATGGTAGTTGAGTTTTGGGCAATTATAATCACCTCCTTTATCTTTTTCATTTTTTAAAAATTTCAATTAAATTTTTCAAGAGGTTTTTGCCTTAGGGCATATGCACTCGCTGGAGAAGGAGACAGAGACAGTGAGTGGGAACGTGAGAAATCACCCCCTGGGGGGATAGCTACGCTGCAATCCCTTCTCCTCCATTCTCCTTCCAGGATCTTGGGCACACACACATACATACACACAGGTGCCCAGCGTGAGTTTCAAGTCACCAGGTCCAGGACTCAAAATGCAAATTGGGAAAAAAGCGGCGGGAAGTTCGTACTGGGCAGGAGGCGAGCGGTCTGCGGCTTAGGTGAAAATGCCTCGTGTAAAAGCAGCTCAAGCTGGAAGACAGGGCCCTGCAAGGAGATGTCTTGCAGAACAGTTTGCAGCTGGGGAGATAATAACTGACATGGCAAAAGAAGAATGGAAACTTGGATTACCCATTGGCCAAGGTGGCTTTGGTTGTATTTATCTTGCTGATAAGAATTCTTCAAAATCGGTTGGCAGTGATGCACCCTGTGTTGTAAAAGTGGAACCCAGTGACAATGGACCCCTTTTTACTGAATTAAAGTTCTACCAACGAGCTGCTAAACCAGAACAAATTCAGAAATGGATTCGTGCCCATAAATTGAAGTATCTGGGTGTTCCTAAGTATTGGGGGTCTGGTCTGCATGATAAAAATGGAAAAAGTTACATTTACTTGATAGATTATGGCCTTGCTTATCAGTATTGCCCAGAAGGAGTTCATAAAGAGTACAAAGAGGATCCCAAAAGATGTCATGATGGCACTATTGCATTCACAAGCATTGATGTGCACAATGATGTGGCCCCCTCAAGACCTGGTGATTTGGAAATACTTGGTTACTGCATGATCCAGTGGTTCAGTGGCCATCTTCCTTGGGAGGATAATTTGAAAGATTCTAACTATGTTAGAGATTCCAAAATTAGATACAGAGAAAATATTGCAAGTTTGATGGACAAATGCTTCCCTGAGAAAAACAAGCCAGGTGAAATTGCTAAATACATGGAAACAGTGAAGTTACTGGACTATACTGAAAAACCTCTTTATCAAAATTTACGAGATATTCTTTTGCAAGGACTTAAAGCTATAGGAAGTCGGGATGATGACAAACTGGAACTCAGCGTTGTGGAAAATGGAGGCTTGAAAGCAAAAACAGCAACAAGGGTGAATTTTGTTATTAAATTACTCTTAGGGCTTCTTCTGGTTTAAATTGTAACAAATCTTAAAAAAGGTGAAATAGTAGCTCAGTGAAGAAAATAACGTGACTTGTCAGTTAAATATCACCTCTCTGTAAAGGCAGTTTCTTTTGATGGTACAGAACAGTATGCAGAGGATTGTAGAAGAAAAATATGTATTTCTTGTGAGTCTTGTGCAGTGGAAGCAGTGATTAAATATTTGTGTCTTTGGAAAACAAACTTAAAAAAAAATACTTTGCAGCATTTATTAAAGGTTAATGTGTGGAGTTCCCATATCATCAAGTTATACTCTTTAAGCTTTCTCAAGCTGTGTGTTAGAGGTTTGGGAGTCCATGAAAGAAAAATGACTATAGATGATGTGCACTCTTCTAATCACTGTGCATTTCCTAGAATGTATAAAAATGTCTGTCAAAGTCCTCACTTTTAAGGAAATGCAAAACTTAAAATAAGTCTCTTTTTGCTTGAAAAAAAAAGCAAATTGGCCATGTAGGAGTCCAATGAGGTAACCGCCATGCCATTTACTGGCCTCCTCAACTCAATTTTATAATTTGTGAAAACCAATGAACTGAAGCAAATTAATCACAGGCTCAGAGAGCAAAATAAGTGGGAGCGCCTAGACTGGCTGAGCCTTTTCTTGGGTAGGTGGGCACAGCAGGGTGCATGGTGTTGACATACTTTCAGGGATACTGAGACATGGTAGGGATGACTGCACTTCTCTAGGCCATTGCTGAAATCCTTATAAGGGCCTTTTTAGGCTCAAAACACTATGCTGCAGTAGTACCATGTGACATGCCTGGGAATAACAGTGCAGCTAGTTGCACTTGAAGCCAGCCCCACCGTGGCTGAGTCGAGAGCCAGTCATTGCAAGGAAACTGTCAGATGCTAACTGATAATAGCTGTGCATTTTCTCTTGGTGACACTTCAGATGGTGTAAGAATCCTGGCTTGAACTGTATAACTGTATATTTCGTGGTTAATGTTCTTCCCTTTAATGATGGTTTTATCTTTATCCATTAAGGAAAATATGGGGCCGGCCCATGACATGATGGTGAAGGTGGCTGGATCCCACATGGACAACTGAGTGGTTTAGGTCTTGGACCCAAGGGCTTGAAAAACATACTGGGTGTATGTTTGTGCATACCAAAATCCTTAAAGGAGGGAGAAATGGAGAAGGGATTTCAGTGTGACCATTCTCCATTGTGTATGTGGGGGGGTGTCTAACTACTTTTCCTCCCTCTAGCTCTGTCTCTCTCCATCTCTGTCTCTCTCCTGTGAGCACATATACTCACATTTTTATAGGCAAAGATCTAGAAAAGCAGGTTGGGCCTCATTTGCTGCTGCCCAATTGTTCCCAAACAATCCCTCAGGATGGGGTCAGCAGGTGGCATGGTGGTTAATGTGCTGGACTCCCCCATGGCAGACTGCAGTTTGAATCCTAAATCTGATGGCTTACTTTCTCACTTTCCCTCTCTCTCTCTCTATCTCTGGTCAAATTTTTAAAATAATGATAATAATAATAAATAAAATTAATTAAAAATAACTCTTAAAAGCAACTCTCCAAGTGAAGTAAAGATGCATATTTTGAATGTTAATGAATAGGAAACAACAGAACAGATGAGCAAGCTTGTGAAAACCTCAGTCATTGGGATGGAATTTAATAAAACAGAACGAGAACTTTTTTATTTGGAAAAAGGAGAAAATTTTTCATTGAACTTCAAAGTGATGATTGATTTTACTTGACCATGTAAAGAAACTTTATTTTTAAAATGATTTTGATTAGAGTAATAATACCTCGTGTTTAGCTTGGATACTATAGTGGACATCACTCAGAACTTCGCAGTCTGAGCCCTGCCTGAGTGTTATCTGATAACAGGGAGAGATTTGGAAGCTCAGATACAGGTCAAGCTCAGTTTACAATACTAAGTTATGAAACAAGAAGGCTTCGTTTAAAAGCACAAAACAAAACAAAACAAAACAAAAGAGAAGAAGAGAAAAGAGAAGTAACAGGAGAGACACAGAGTCCCACAGCATTCTATCCCATTAGTTCCGTTAACAATTCATGACTGACTCAGGACGCAAGCATTTAAATAAACCAGGGAGGACTTCGGAAAAAAAACTTAAAGAAAACGACAAAGATTACTTAAAATGTAGAAAACACTAAAAAAGCCCAAAAAGCTTTGCCTCAGTCATCTACTGGGTGTGTGACTTTGTATGAGAACTTGAGTTCATCCAGGTAATTGAGTATCAAGGTTCTCACCTGTGAAGGAAGGGGTTGTGGTGATTCATGGAATTTTCCTGCATGGGAAACCATATCATTCTATCTCTTCTGTTTTTAACTGTTAAACTTGTCCTCTCATCTAGATGTTGCATTTCACACTCCAATAAATTCCTTCTGGATATGGATTCCTTCCTTGCTCACTTCCTTTCTTCTCCCTTCTCTTTCTTTTTCTTTTTGTTCCCCTTTCTCAATGTATTTCTCATATATAATATAATGTATTTTATACACACACACACACACACACACACACACACACCTATATATGTATATAGCTTTCATTTATTTGTTTTAATTTGCCAGAGAGTGAATATTCTCACTGGAGAGACACACAGAGGGAGTGCGAGAGGAAAAGTGAGAAAGTACTTCCCACTCCCCGCATTGGGAATGATTATGCAGCAATTCCTTCTCGCCCATCTCTCCTTCCTTTTGAGAGTTTGGACACATGTGCAGATGCATCTGCCAAGATTTTCAAGCTGCTGAGTTCAGAACTTTAACTGCAGGGTCGGCCATGTAAGATGCAGCTGTCTTAAACACCAGGACACAGGCATATTCTGCATTTCTATTATTTATGATAGAGGTGTGTGTGTGTGTGTGTGTGTGTGTGTGTGTGTGTGTGTGTGAGAGAGAGAGAGAGAGAGAGAACCTTCCACAAGATCTCAGATCTTCAAAACCAACATATCCAACCTGGAAACTGTTTTTCTCCATAAAACTTGCTCTTCTTAAAAATGTTTCTTTCTCAGGCCAGCAGGTGGGGTAGTAGTTAAAGTACTGGACTGCCACATGGTCAACCATAGTTTGAGTCCTGAATCAGATGGCTTAAAACTCATGCCAGCTGTGTGTGTGCATGCCCAAAGTCTCAGTAGGAGAATGGAGGAGAAGGGATTGTGGAGTAGCCATCACCCCTGGGGTGTGATTTCTCACTTTACCTCTCACTGTGTCTCTCTCTGTCTTCGGCAAACACACGCAATCTATGACAAAAATGTTAAAAAAAGAAAGGTCTTTCCTTGTGATGTGGAACCATGTTATAAACCAAGTGTCATCTTTGAACACCTCCTAAATATATCTCTAATAAGTCTGTACCAGGCAAAAATGAAGGCTGCTGTATTAGTTTATTAATGATGATCTATTTCAATAGTGTTTTATTGTTCTCTCTGACTAAAATCTTATCCTATCTCACTCCAATAAACCACCACAATCCTGGAGATATTGCATTCCCACAATTAAATTTTGTATTAGTTTCTTCCCTCTAAATCCTTGCACAGCTTCCCATGATACTTCCTAAATGGGCTACGATTTTCTACTCCTGTCCATTCTCTCCCCACGTCATCCCCTGCTCTGTCTGCTTTAGCCATACCTACTACATTTTTCAAACCTCCATTGGTCCTCCCTCATCTTGAATCCATTTTTCTAAGAAAAACCTCAATCGTGAAGCTTCCTGAACACCATCCCTTCTCTAATTCCAACATCTACTGGCACAGTGGAATTAACCAGTATCATCTTTTTTCCTATCTCTGAACTTTTTATAGATATCTGCCATTTTACACACAATATTAAAATGCATTTATAAATCCCTTTGCAAATTGTATATCATCATCTAAAATAATTCTTGACATATAATAGGCAGTTAGAAAATATTTGCTCAATACATTACTGAGTTAGTGAGTAAAGGTGATGAAATGACTATTTTAGCAAATATTAAATATATTCTTAGAGGAATTCTGATGAGTCATAAAATTTTAGAAATCTTAGATTTTTCTTTTATGAACAAAATTAATATTCTGACAGCTAATTTGCTGAGAGGCCCATTACCCCAAAGGATCTTTTAGCTAAACAACCAATTCATTTAATTCACCATATTTATATAAACTTAAACTTTATGTAGTTATAAAGTTGACAGCAATTCTGATGAAACAAACAGAGATAAAATGAAAGGTTTAAAGCTTTGAATCGAGGACAACAGAGCCTTCAATTCTCTACTGAAGGCAACCTCTCTTCAATTTGCCTATTAGTTTCTCTCCTCACTGTACTAAAGCTTCCCTGGAGTTGGCAGGCCAGACCTGGTGCTTTGCTTCGAAGCTCCTGTCGTTCTGCCAGCAGAGGGGCCCCTCACTCTGCCAGGGTTTCAACATAGGACAGTAGAAAACTGGGTATAGACTAGTGAATGTTTCCTAATTAGTTATTGTGATAGCAGGGTGAAAACTGGCCAACTAACTCTGTAGAACTCTTCTCATAGTTCCATCTAGATTAATATTAGTGATTGTAAATTTCTAACTAACTAAAATCAACAAGTTTCTATTTATACTTAAATATGGTATGTTTTTTTCAATCAACAAAATTTGGAAAGAATCCTAAAAACATACTAAACTGTTGGCAAAATCAGAAGCAACTTTTAAAAGATGAAAAAGAAATCAATATAAGATGACATCTCTGCATATGAAATCATGAAATTGTAGTTATAGTTATGAGAAAAAAAATTTTTTGGATAGGTTTTTGCTATAAGGCGCATGTGTTCACCAGAAAGACAGAGAGAGACAGAGAGACTGAAAGCGAGAAATCACTTCCCATGGGGGATGGCCACACCACAATCCCTTCTCCTCCATTCTCCTCTCGGGATCTTGGGCATGTATGCACACGTGCCCAACTTGAGTTTTAAGCCACCAGGTCCAGGATTCGAACTGTGGTCAACTACATGTGAATCTAGTGACATAGCCATAGGTAACTGCTGGTCCCGAGAAAAATATTTTAAAGAGAAAAACTAAGTCATCCGGTAATTTGCAGGTTTGACAAACTAGATATCCCTCTTAAGATGCTTTTTAGATGCTTATATTTTTAAATATATT